AACACTAAATTATGTTATGTAAATATCACAATGATTTCAAATAACTCTAACATTTATAAAAAAAAATTAACTACAGTAAGAAAATGTTAGGATACTGAATGATCTTTAAATAATGATATTTCAATCGAGTCATCAAATGTCATTTCTTGAAGAAATAAGTTACATATAAAATGAAAACAAGGTGTGAGCTTTTGAGTGTGATCTAAGGCTTCATTAGGGATACTGAAGAACACCTGAAATAATGTACAAAATTTGGAGTTAAAGTTTCCATTTTCCTAGTGAGTTTTTACCTTATTATATTTACTTCAACAGCCAAGTATACATGACTAAAATATGATGAATCTGTTAACTGAAAAATTAAGATACTGTACAGTAATGTAGTTAACTATTCTTTTTCTTCTTTAACCCTAAATGCTGTACCTATCTGTGTACAGTAGTCTGGGCATCAATCACTTGTGGTCAGTGGTCTTACCCTTCAGCTACCACTTGGTTGTTATTTTGTTTGAACACAGTAAGTAAATCAGTCATACTAACTTGTGTAGGGTTGTCATAAATATACAAAATTAGCAAATAAAAAGATTGAGATTAAATGAAATTGAAATTGCCCAAAGTTCTCTTATTTTCAGTTTCAGCAGTTTGGGGTTTACTGTCAGGGGAATAGGAAGATGTCTGTCATTGGATGGGAGGTGAGGGGGACACACTTCTTACTGTGTTTAACTCTTTTGGGGGAGACTGAATAAAAGCTAATTGTGAGGGGTGTTAGTGATACAGGAAAAATGTGTGTACCTCTCACAAATATGTCCTGTGTTCAATCCCTAGATATGGACAGATGTGCGAAGGGTGTGAGCTAGTGAGACCCTACCAAACATTGCAGGTTTTCCTCCAAGTACTGTACAGTACTCTGGTTTCCTCCAGTACTAACACTGGACAATAAAGGTCACATCAAAGTAAAAAAAGAACAAACCAACTGCCCAAATGGTTTTATAAAAATACAGGGAGCCTCCCAAGTTCGCAAATTTTTACTTCGTGGTTCTCGGTTATTCGCAAATGACACTCAAGAATGTCTGTGGGTAGTTTTAAAATTGCCGTCATTTTCGTGGCTGGGACAGGAAGCCATTCGTTCTAGAGACAGTAATTTCCTTTACCTGTATTGTACATACAGTATGTGTATGTGTGTAGACAAACACACAAAATACATACAAATAAATAATAATGGGAAAATACTCTCACAAATAATCAGAAAGAAATTTATTAAAAATGTGAGTCTCCCTTCAAGTCCATGCTCTATTACAGTACTGTACTTTATTAATAGAGCACTGACTAGAGGGTAAACTTACATTTTTCTTAAATTTGTTTCTGATTATTTGCGAGATGATTTTCCAATTATCATTTATTTCTATGTATTGTGTGTGTGTGTGTGTGTGTCACACACACACACACACACACATATATACAATACTACAGGTAAAAGAAATAATTGTCCTAAGGGCAAACACATAAAGGTAATATAAATTTCTTTTAGAACCTTAGAACATCACTATAATAATGGAAGCCCCCTCGAAACAGAGAATGGACAGCCCAAGGGCCTCCTAGGCATGAATTTGTTAAGGTGTAGAAGCTGTCGCCAACACAACAACCACACCCTAAGTTAACGAGCTGCATGACCAGTGTCACGGAATAGTCCGAGAAGACTGGACAGCTCGCCAACTGCATTGGCTAACCGCTACCCCGGAATACGATCCGCAAATCGATGAACATCCAGGTTCCCAATTACTGCTGGGTAGACAGAGGCAAATGGCGTAAAGAAACTTGCCCATAATTTCACCTTGCCCGAGGATCGAACTCGGGTCCACTGGCTTGCGAGGCGAGGATGCTGAGAACATCACTATAACTCCTAACTGACAGTTATCAAGCAGAACTACGTATTGTACTATAAAATCTGTCACTGATGCTAGTGTCCCATTTATGTTAGTTTTAAATATTATAGCAAAATAGCTTATTCTTGTTGAAAGTTATGTTTTAAAAGTTTAAACACTGAAAAAAAAAGTGATGGATTTTGCAGACATCATCAGTTCTACACAATGCATACATACCATACATATCTAGTAAATGTATTGCATGAGATCTATAATTTATTTAAGAACATTTTGTGAGAAGAATTATAATTGTGTGTTTAAATTTATTGCATTAAAAGAGGTTTTAAAAAATGAAGTTTACAAATTTATACAGTGGTCCCTCGGTTAACAAACGGTTCAATTAACGAACTAGCTCCCATAAGGATTTTCAGTTCGATTAACGAACAAAACTTCGATTAACGAAATCCTGACGACAAACACGTTTTGTTGTGCGCATCAGCTGATCAGATAGTCCGCCAATACAGTACAGCTCCTCCCCGACTTACGCCGGGGTTAGGGACCCAAATCCAGGTCATAAGTCGAAATGGTCGTAAATCGAAAATGCTTAAATAATACATAGAAAATCTAAAATGAGTGTCTCTTTTTCTTCTCAGCACCACAAAACTCTCACTTTTAAGCTTGCCAGCCATTTTAAAGTGAATTACAAACAAAAATTTTGTCAGTACACAGCGCAATCGCTGACGTTGGGACTCAAAAATACGTAATTTGACAAAATTTTGGTACAACTGAGGCGGTCGTATGTACGGGTGGTCGTAAGTCGAGTAGGTCGTAAGTAGGGGAGGAGCTGTAATTGGTTCTATGCTTACATTCGTTTCCAGTGAAGTAAATATCAAGAAAGTTGGTCTCTTGAATATTTCTGCATTTTTTATATTAAAATTATTGGTCATTCTGAAATTTAGTTAACATATTGATAATATAGACAGTACAGGGAACAGTTTTGTGCGCCCATCAGCTAATTGAATCACCCAACAACGCTTCTCAGTTTAACTTTGTTTACAGTGGAGTGAACATCGATTTTGTTAGTCTCTTGAATATTTTTGCATTTTTAAATTAAAATTATTGGTCATTCTGAAATTTAGTTAACATAGTGATAATATACAGTGCAGAAATTACTATGAGACATGAAGAAGGCATTAGAACCAATGCACTCTAAAGAATATGGCATATCATCATCGACTGCCTCTACAATCCGCTGTTTGATATGTAAACAAAGCTGACGGAAATACGACATACACACCTCAAAGTAAGTTAAAATACAGTATTCTAGTGTTTTTTATTTATTATTATACAGAATACTGTGCAGTATAGTACTGTATTTAGTTTATATTTAATGTTTTGTTAATTCTATTACTGGTATACAGTACTTTGTATGTACTTTTTTGTGTAAGTTGGAACCAATTACCCAAAATCCCATTGAAATAATAGATTCAGTTAATGAAATTTTCGGTTAACTAACGACTCTGTGGAACGAATTGTGTTCGTTAACCGAGGGACCACTGTGTACAAATTACATGAATTTTTTTTGTGAATTTTTTATTAAAGGAACTGTACTTTAAAGTTTTTTAGGGCATTAACACAGGTATGAAAGAATTTGGATTGGTTTCATTATTATTTATGTTTGCAAATATGCAATGTTTCTCCCTTGACCATCTGGGTACCCCTCAGATTAAAAAGGTTGGGAACCCCTGCTGTATGATATCATATAGTAGTCTGTAGTGATAACTCAGTTGACTAAATTCTTCCTGAAGAAAACTGCTTGATGGTCTTCCTTCACCTGTCACGGTTATTTTTGTCTTGTAAATGAGGACCTGGTGAACCAGTCTTAGTAACTGGGGGACCTGGTGAACCATTCTTAGTAACTGGGGAGCCTGGTGAACCAGTCTTAGTAACTGGGGGACCTGGTGAACCAGTTTTAGTCACTGGGGACCTGGTGAACCAGTTTTAGTCACTGGGGACCTGGTGAACCATTCTTAGTAACTGGGGACCTGGTGAACCAGTCTTAGTAACTGGGGACCTGGTGAACCATTCTTAGTAACAGGGGACCTGGTGAACCAGTCTTAGTAACTGGGGACCTGGTGAACCAGTTTTAGTCACTGGGAACTTTGTAAACCAATCTTATTAACTGAGGACTTTGTAAACCAGATTTAATTATCCAACCTAAAGTTAAGTAATATTTGTTCTCTCATGCCTATTTATAGACCCACAAGTAGTAAACATTAGAAGTACGAGAGGACCTTATGACACAGACTCAAGGTGAAGGTGCACAGTACAGTAAAATCACTAAGCCTTAACTTATGTGAGTTGTCTGTCTATGCCTCACATGATAACCCTCCTTTGTCTTCGAGAGTATTGTACTAATACAGTACATCTTTATTGGAAAATCTTTGATTGAAAAGCTCTTTGATCACTAACACTGAAATTTAAATAAAAGTACTGTACAGTACTGTATGCAAGATGCTGGATGATAAGGATGAGGTGTTCAAACTCTGGGAGAAACAATCAAAGAGGAAAAGGTTATAAGAAAAATTATGACTGATAAAGAGAAGCATTTGAACACATTACTTGGACATTCATTCATTACCTTTTTTGTTATACTTAAAAGATAGTACAGTAGCTGAAATCTCATTGTTTATATAGAATCCTAAGGTGTAAACTGCATGATCAGTTAATATCACATACTCTGCTTGCTTCACAATGAAATAACTAAAAACAATGAAAAAACAAATAAATAAAAGAATGCAACAAAACAGGTACCAGAAAAAGGTGCACTTGATTGCACCATTCCACAAAATGAAACCAATTTTACGTCTGGGAACACTCTGATGGGCCTCTCTTTACTGTGCTGTATGAAGCAGGCAGTACAGTATAGCCTTATTGCTCCTCTCTTATATCTCAAAAGCTGGTGGTCAATACGTTTTAATCTTATACTATTTCTCCTCTTTTCAAGGTAGATCTCAATGTACTTGTACAGTAGTTGTCTAAACTTGTACTATCATTTTCAAATTAATGTTTGATATTAAAATGGCACTAAAAATTTTCTTTAGCTTAACTCTTTAGTATGGAGTAGAGGATGATAGAACTTACCTCCATCGATGGAGTCCTTGCGTGAGCGTGGGAGTCTATGAGGGTTGAAGATGTACTCGTAGATGAGGCCAGCAGTCACCCCTCCTAGCAGAGGAGCCACCCAGTACACCTGCAAGTACACAAGGCAATAAGTGTGTGGGTAGGGCATCAGTTTATTAGAAGCATCACAACAACAGCTAATGACTGCCAATACACTCCACAACACTACAATACAGTACTGTACTACATCACATACATTAAAGAGACATTACTGTGACCCAGTACAATCTGCCGCAGGCCCATCCGACACCGCCACACTATATCACACCCAATGCTAAACTGAGTCCACACATCCAGCACTGCTCACCAGCTGCCGGGAGCACATTCTGGGCGCCCAATCAAAGCCCGTTTTTCAAAGGTTCTCCTGGCCTCTTTTTTTTTTCACTGATTGGCTAGTTCATGATATGGGCATAGTCACATCAGTTGCTAGGCAGAGCTATCCCCATGAGTTATCCTCATGACACCTAATACAGGCCTGCATCTGGTTTCCCTTGATAGGGTGACGATTTTAGGTCATTTGGTTTGACGGCACTATAAACATCCCGGTCAGTTCTCATGTTTCTCTTATAATGGTCAACTGGCCAGCTCTCATAAGCATAGACATCCCTTTTATTACCTCTATGTCCCCAAATTACAAACGCCCGCCAATACGGACACGGTTAAACTTGAATTTAAAGTATTTTATTAACCTGATGACATTTTTTTTACTTTTGTAGGTTATGTATCTAAGCTACTGTGCCGAGTAGCAACCTTGTATATAAGCTACTGTGCCAAGTAGCAATTATATATGTAATTACGTGGCAACACTGCACGTGTTATGTGGCAACATTGCTCCGAGGCTGCCATATGGCAATGCAGCCTCAGTCTGACTCCGTGCCTCGTGCAAGGCACACGCTAGTCACTACTTGTATTTCTCCTATCAGTTAATAAATGGACTTCAGTGTTACCCGGTGTTTCCCTACCCATCACTGCCTTCTTCAGGGAACACTTGGAACCTTCAACTTTCATTTATTGTCTTTTGTCATTCTATTTCTGTCTATATCATAGGACTTAGGCTATGATATAGTAGGATTTTAAACATTGTTTTGTAAGTACAGTATGCATATAGCATGTGTTCTGACTTGCATACAAATCTGACTTATGAACGTCCTCAAGAACGGAACCTGTTCGTAACCCAGGGACCCCCTGTAGTGGGCGTAGGGGTGCGTGAGCATCCCTTTATTACAGTGATCTAATAGCTGGTAAAATTATTATTCAGTTCCATAAATTATATATCATACAAGAAATTCTTACAAGTGAGAATACACCATTCCCATAAGCAACCCATACTGTACAGCACTCCTTTCTTGGTGAGAACCCTGTTATGCATAAGCATGCAAAACGATGTCCATAATTTTTTATGGAGCATACGTAAGAGTGTCCTAGCTTTTATGACAGGTAAAGCACACACCAACAAAATTCAATTACACGGTGACCACACTAACAGTACAGCAATGTACCAGGAAAATATAAAACAAAGTAAATATGTCAACAATGGATACTGCATATTTATTAATCTATAGACTAATGTAAACCATAAATTTAATTATATTTCTCAACAGTAATTACTATGTATTGGCATTAAGTCACACTGGGTGTAAAAAAAAAAAAAAATATTACAAAAAAATATATACTGTATATTGTGGATTTAAACTTACAGTATTATTGTATTAGCTAACAAAAGGGTTATTTAACTAACATAGCTTAAGCTATTAAACTATACCTGTAGTACGTACTACAGTACAGTACTTTGCTGTCACTCGGAATCAAGTAAGACGATCATCCAGCTATGATACGAGTTATTAACGTTGTCATCTATGTTGGCGAGTTCTGAGTTGACTAAAGAGGCCGATACGGGACCGGCAGGGCCATTCACAGATGCTGCTCATGTGGGGGGCTACATCTAGTGCAGGAGGGGCGGTGCAGCATCTTTCCGGTGTTGGCGCTTGTCTACCTCGTTATGCAGTCCGGCTAACTAGAAAGTATTGACACCTCTTCTCGTGTGGTGCTCATCCAAGCATTACGGTGTGGAGTAATCGTCTCCCAGGTGAGGGGGTCGATTTGACACTTTTCAGGTTTGTCTTAAGACTATCCTTATACTGTACCTTTTACTATTCGTTAGGCGACTATAAAGTAGCTGCTTTGGCAGTTTACTGTCATACAGTATGTGCATTGTAAATCACAGAACAACAAATTCTTTATCAACAATTACTAAAAATGAAAATCAACAACACCACATATGTTAAAAATGAACATTTGAAAAAAAAATTCTCTTGTGATCCTTGTGGTCATCTTGAATCAAACTCCAAATGCCGTCAGCCACCTATCATTACTTCATCCCATTGCTCCTGATACAGTATCTCTTCTCCATGGTTTGGATATCCTGATGAAAATGTTCACCATGTTCTTCACAAACTTCACCCAAATTTTATCTTAACAAGTCCAAGTGTGAATGCAAAAAGTGTACCTTCAGGGACATTCTGCACCCAAGTTCTCTGTACAGTACCATACAATCAAATATTCAACTTGCTCTTTATACTTTTTTGCACTTTGTATTGTCCAGAAATCCATGTACTATATGCCGAAATGCTTGCCAGGCATTCTTTTCAACAGTAGACATACAGTATTATAAGGTAAGTTAGAGATCGATTCTCTTTACAGGAAAAAAATAATAATTTATAATTATAACTCAGGGGTGCTCACCTTATCACACACACAGGAATCAGCCCATCTTCTCTGAACAGTACAGTACAGTATGTATGTATGTATTTATAAATCTCAAAATAAAGTTATCCATTTCCCACGATATGAAATTCTAAACCTCTCTGATTCAACTCTGTGCAATGTCTAGATTCGTAAAACTCATTCTTGGTAAATGATACATTAATCCATAACGCCCAACACATTTCTCCCCCTCACCAATTCACGTTTGTCTCAACTGTTAAGAAAATTCTCTCTTGCTCATTGTCTCATTTCCATAAATACATTCACTTAAGCACATGTAACTGCCTCCATCGTGCATGAGCCCAGCTAACTTTGGAGGTTGTGCTGAAATTTTTTTTCTCCATATCATATACAGTACTGTATTCCGATGCTTGACTGTATTGGTATGTGATGTCAGAACTAAGGGAGGGCTGTGGGATGCTAACAGACTAAGCTCTCCCCACACCCACATGGTAACTACCCCCTCCCCATACCCCCATGGTTACTACCCCCTCCCCATACCCCCATGGAAACGACCCTCTCCCCACACCCACATAAAAACGACCCTCTCCCCACACCCTCAGAGTAACGACCCTCTCCCCACAACCACATGGTAACGACCTCCTCCCCACACCCACATGGTAACGACCTCTCCCCACACCCACATGGTAACGACCCACACCCACATGGTAACGACCCTCTCCACACCATGGTAACGACCCTCCCCACACCCACATGGTAACGACCTCCCCACACCCACATGGTAACGACCTCCCCCACACCCACATAAGTAACGACCCTCCCCCACACCCACATGGTAACGACCCTCCCCCCACACCCATACATGGTGACGACCCTCTCCCCACACCCACGTGGTAACGACCCTCTCCCCACATCCCACGTGGTAACGACCCTCTCCCACACCCACGTGGTAACGACCCTCCCACCCCACGTGGTAACGACCCCTCCCCACACCCACGTGGTAACGACCCCTCCCACACCCACATCCGACCACTCCCCACACCCACATGGTAACGACCCTCCCCCACACCCATGGTAACGACCCTCTCCCCCACACCCACATGGTAACGAACGGGAACCCTCTCCCCACACCCACATGGTGACGACCCTCTCCCCACACCCACAGACCCTCCCCACACCCACATGGTAACGACCCTCTCCCCACACCCACATGGTAACGACCCTCCCCCCACACCCACATGATGACGACCTCCCCCACACCCACATGGTAACGACCCTCTCCCACACATGGTAACGACACACATGGTAGCGACCCTCCTCCACACACCCACATGGTAACGACCTCTCCCCACACCCACATGGTAACGACCCTCTCCCCACACCCACATGGTAACGACACTCTCCCCATACCCACATGGTAACGACCCTCTCTCAAATCCACCTGGTAACGACCCTCTCCCCACACCCACATGGTAACGACCCTCTTCCCACACCCACATGGTAACGACCCTCTCCCCACACCCACATGGTAACGACCCTCTCCCCACACCCACGTGGTAACGACCCTCTCCCACATCCACGTGATAACGACCCTCCCCCACACCCACATCCCTCTCCCCACACCCACGTGTAACGACCCTCTCCCCACACCCACGTGGTAACGACCCTCTCCCCACACCCACATAGTAACGAGCCCCTTTAATTACACACATTGCTATACACGATCTCATTAGAAGAGGAGAAAGAAAACAATAGGCTTTAAAACGACTTCGATAATGACCTGAAACTCACATTTTTAAGTGGAGTAAAAATATATTGAAATTGTTTCGGAGGTCTAAAACTGGCTGAGCTGTACCCCCCCTCCCGGCTGCCTTCCTTCCCATGTAGACGCCATCTACTGTCTATTGAGATTTGTCTGTTGTACATGAGCTGTGCAGACGGGAAATGGCATTACTCGGTAGTAAAGACAATAGCTGAGTTCTGGGGCAGTTTAAAAGTGAGCCAACGGACCTTCCTAAAGTGAGGAAAATAATGTGATCTGACGACTAAAAAATAACTTTACGATCTGGTGTATCGGTTGTGTGTGTTCTTTCCTTGTGCTTCTCTCAAACACACACACACCCTTGCTAATTATTACATATGGCCACGTGACCCACTCCCTTAAATGCCTGCCAAATAAGTCATGTCAGCAGCGGAACACACGAGTGGAAGCAAAAGATAATTATGAGAGAAATAATGAAAATATAAAAGGCTTTCAAACATTACGGCAACAACCTAACCTAACAATCTTAATATTGTTGTAGTTGTTCACTTTCTGTATTTGGGGGGGGGGGGTTAATTAAATTG